ATAGCATCATTGACGAACTGACTGACAGATTACTATTCAATTTAGGGCTGATTTTTCAATAGTCAGATAAATGTTATCTGAAGAATAAAATTGTTGCTGTCACTTTCTTTTACAAACATTCTGACGCGACAGCATCATAAATATTTCCCAGATAGCTTTTGTCTAACCATTAAAAAATTAGGCCTTAGACGTTTCAAAAGTAAGGAGGAGGCGGAGCGCGTGAGGGAACTGTCCTCCTCGCGCCCCAGCCGCCGCAGAAGGCGACATTCCGGACGTCGGGGATCGAGAGATGATCTCTCGATCTCCCTGGGCGGGAGAAGTCATTTGATGATTTTCCCCTGACAAAAAAAAAACATTTCAAATGTACCAATTTATGTTTTTGTTGGAATAAATTACTTTGATTTTTGACTTTTGAGCAAAACAGGTGTTGTGTCCCATAGGTTTTCTGTGAGGCCGTGATATCCAGTATCCAGTCGATTTGGCCCATTCATGATGAAGCGCGGCGCAGTCCAGCGAGCCACTTCCCCAACTACCTATGCAGTCATAACTACAACAGCTATTGCCAGTTACGTATTTTCGCAAAAAAAAACGTTGCCCAAACGTAAGTGCTTAATTGCTTATACCAAGTTGAAATTTTTCATACTTTTCGCGCATGACTGGATAAAAAAAGACATAGCGAAAAAAAAGCCTTGCGCTTGCGTGCTGTAAATTTACGATTTACATAGAAAATTATATTTCGCACGCGACCGTTAATCGCTTCTATCCGGCGAGAAAGAGGGATGGAGGTATAAAAGGTGTATAGCTCCATCCCTCTTTCTCGCCCGGAAGATTTTTTCTTTTTAAAAAACGTTGCCCCACTTTAGGATTTTCTCCTGTGTTGTGGGTGCGTTTACAAACATACAATGTCACATACACATGACACCCAGACCCGAAACAACAATTTGTGGATCACACAAAGTGTTGTTCCGTGCGGGAATCGAACCCGCGACACGTTGCACGGCAGCCAGTTGCCCAGCCACCGCACCAACCGTGCAGACACGCCAGATTGACGCGTTATGGTAGGCCCCCTGAGATAATCTATGTGTTATGTGGATTTTGGAAATAAGCAAACTTGTACCCAGTAATTTCAATGACTGTCTCTCGATCCCCGACGCCCGAAGTGTTGCCTACTGCGGCGGCTGGAGCGTGAGGAGGAGGATAGCTCCCTCACGCGGTCCGCCTCCTTTTTTGCTAGCATAACTGCTTCACAGAAAGAGGAGACGGCTTCCCAGTTCCTTTCGCTCCTCACCATGGCCTCGCTCGAGGTTTGATTACTTAATTAAAAGGATTAAAAAAGTTTTATATTTGATGTTTTATATGTACTTTAGTCTGTGCTCGTGGGGTCAAAAAAATTCAGTAGCGACTGTACTGAAGCCAACAGATTACAGGTCGTAGAACTCCTCAAGATTGTGTTCACAATGTCATGAACTTTTTTATCTTTAAGTATAATTCAATTAGTTTTTTAATTACTTAGTTGATGCTCACGTGGCCACTAGATGGCGGTAATGTTGACTTGTGTTTTTTTTTATTTGAGCGGTTCAAACATCCTGACTTCTCCCGGGTCTGAATAAAAACCGCGAAAAAAAAAGTAGATACAAATTAATGCGAGTGGCGACTTGTCGTTCGACGTAGAGAACTAAGGGGGAGGCCTTTGTCCAGCAGTGGACGTCTTTCGGCTGATGATGATTATGATGATATCCCTATGTAGGTAATTATGCTTAAATCTTAAAACTACTGAACGGACTTTGATGGGCTTTTTTCCAATATGTAGGAATTTCCAACAGAGTTCCTAGAGTTCACTTAAAAAAATATATAGAACAATAATAATAATATATATTATCTAAATTAACTCTTGCAGGGGACAAACAACGTAGGTATAAATTATCGATTAAATCGTAATTTTATCTGATTAACATCGTCATAGTTCAGATAAAAAAATTTGGTTCGTCATAAAGATTTTCGATCTCGTTGGCAACAGTGACAGATTATAAGGCGGGAAAGTACCATAGACTAGACTGGTAAGTTATCTTTCCTTTTTTCGTTTTCGTCGGGGTATTTTTTTTAATCTTGCCTCACACTAGGATTTTTTTCGGACCCTGGGGTGCGTTATAAAAAAAAATTCACATACACACGGAACTACAATTTGTGGATCACACACAGTTGTTTCGAGCAGGAATCGAATCCGCGACAAGTTGCGCGGCAGCCTACTGCCCAACCACCGTGCCAAATGTACAACACACATTACATTATAATATTTCTTTTCTAGTTTTTTAACGGGTAACTGAGAGCCAAATCACTGCAAAGTATAAAACAAAATTGCTTTATCTGTTCTATATCCCTATGTACGCTTAAACCTTTAAAATTACGCAACGGATTTCGACGCGGTGTTTGTATAAGATAGAGTGATTGAAGAGGATAGTTTATAAGTATAATAACATCCATTAAATATTGGAGTAACTTAACTAAACTTAACTAGCTTTTGCCCGCGTGGAATAGTGAGTACCGGCAATTTTTGGTATAAAAACTATCCTATGTCCTGTCTCGAGTTCCAAACTATGTCTGTACCAAATTTCACAGAAATCGGTTAAGTAGGCATGTATAAACAAATGCTTTAACACAATGAGTCAATGAATATTTTAAGTAGAAGGTATTTGATTTCGACACTTAGGTACGATTGATTGAAAAGAGTTGGGTAGTTTCCTAGGTCAAAAATAAATTAATTCGAAGTTTCAATACAATAAAATATTGAAAAATAAGTATACTTTTATTCATCGATCGATCGATATACTCATTTTTAGATATTTTTTAGCTAATTATCAAGAAATAAGTAAGCTATTTGACGCAAAAATGTTATGACGTCATAGCTCAGTTTTTCATACAAATTTCATAGAAACGTATAGTTTTTGACGTTTGGATAAAAGTATTGAATTTGACTAGTTGGAAACTACCGTATTAATAAGTTCTTGGTGTATTACAACTTTCGTGAGACACGTTTTAATAATTACCTAAATTATGTTTAGCGATTTAAAACGTAATTGTTAGGCTAGATAACTCGACGACTTTCAAAACTACATATTATAAGGGACTCAACATTATTCTTTTCTTTCACACTAGGATTTTCTCCCGTGTCGTGGGTACGTTTACAAACATACAATTTCACATACACATTACACCCAGACCCGGAACAACAATTTGTAGATGATAAAAAGAGATATTCCGTTCGAGAATCGAACCCGCGACACATTGAGTGGCAGCCAGTTGCCCTGCCCGCCCCACCGAGCCAAACGTGAAGTCAATTTTTCAAAAGTTAGCTTTGCGACCTTCACCTTGTCTTATGTCATGTAATGCTAATGAATATAAGACCCTTGTGTGGTTTGAAACGAGTTGAGCTATTTCGTCAACGTTCGTAAGTAAGCCTTTAAATAAAATCAATACATGTATCACCAGATTCATAAAAATCACCATTGTTTTAACTAATGAAAAGTATAAACGCTATATTTTAAATTCTTTATATACATTTAAGCATACTGTAAGTGCAGAATGTTTGACAGACAGACAAACAACAGTAGGAGGTACCCAATCTGAGTCGAGAGATTCAATTAGCCATTGGTTTTGTTTTTTATAATATAACCAGCGTTTAATTTAATTTTGAATAAGAAAATGAGGTAATAAACAATGTAAAAATAGTAAATACCTTATTTCAAGACTACCCTTAGCCGGGTATTTTAAACACATTATTATTTTACCGCGAATAAAACCTCTTTCAAAACTTTTGAATTCAGAATTTAAATTCTTAATTAAATATCGCGATAGGACATAATTTTTAGATCACACGACACTTCGGTTGACCTCTAACCCGGCTTTAACAATAGCCCTACAGCTGTTTATTAATATTGATAACAACTGACTGACACAAGTAAGTTTACAATTCTACCTACCGAGAAAATTATAACAACTTTATTGAGATCTATTTGTAGTGTCAAAGACATTAAAGAGTCAAATAGGGGTAACATACCTTGAATTCCTTGGCGATGTTTTTTCTTACAGTAACCGGTTCACCTTATCTCTAGAAAGGTTTATAATAAATTCACTTCTTATTTACTCTTTCGGGTAACTATTGTTCAGTTTATTTCGATAAAACTATGACTATTTTAATTTATACAGCTAAAGTAACGATTGTGAACTAAGGACATTTAAAATAAAATAACTATTGTCCTATCTACATCTAGCGATACAATTTAGAACTTAAAAATAAAGTGCAAAGTAACACATCCCTCCCGTTCGGACGTTGTCACTGCACTATTATTTTTAGTAGGTATTTGAATGCATAGGTATGGGCGGTGTTGCTAAATGGTTTTTTATTTAATAACCAAACCAGGTGAAAGCCCGCTTATTTAGATTCGACCTTAAATGACATGGTATTATTAAATCAACTTTTAAATTTCAAGAATTTTCGTTAGATAGAAAAACAATAACAAAAAATCAAAACAAAAAAATATTTTAAATGTCAACACTTTGTCATGGGAGAAATGTAGTTTTTGCGCTTGTAACACATAACTTACGTTCCGTTTTCGTAGAAACTAAGATTACACGCACATTCGCCAGAAAAATTAAATTAAACTATCTTACTTCTATGTGTAATGCATGGTTTTCATTAAATTGTAATCGTCAAAACGCCAGACTATTGATCAATGTTATTATTCTGAATTGAAAAATAATGTATTTAGCAATTTTTTTTTTCGCCAATTACTTATATCGTGAAATGAAACGTGGAAATCGAAGAAAGAGAGAAAGGACAATGAGTTGCTAAACAAAATGGCCGCTGAACGTAGAAAGGCGTGTCGCGGATACTCCTGATATTCGCCTTCTCGGAAACCATTGAACTTCAGTGAAAAGTTTACGTGTATTATACTGGTTCGTAACTTTGTTTTGTGATTAATATAAGGTGAATATAGTATTTGATGTTGGATGTCCAGCCTGCTGTGTTCGAGGAGCGTCACCCCTTCGTCTGTACTATGGAGGATGTCATACAGCCGCGTACGGCCTATACCGTGAGGCCTCGCCGCGTGTGCTCGGAGGCTGCATGTTCGCCTCGCGTGGGCCCGTGTCGATCGCGGTCGCTTCGCCCCTCGCGAAGCTTTCGTCCACCCGCGCGCCGCTTTCGCATTCTAAGTATGTCGGTTTTTACAGCGGCGCTGCCGGGTTTCGCGTCTGCCCGCCGCCTGGCACCGGGGCTTCGCCCCCCGCGTCCCGCCGCGCGCGTTAGGAGCCCTCGCTCCATTCGATCCTTGAACGGAGTCGTTCAGGTAAGTTTTTCCTAATTTTCACTGCAGGTGAGGAAAATCGATTCGGGGATCGGCCATCTTGGAAAAAGTATAATTAGAATAAAGCCGTACAGTTATTTTGCGGCCAATAAAACAGTTATAAAATCACGTCGGATGTATCCTCATCGAGATTATTCTTATTATGAAACAATCTTAATATGAAAAGCTTCATTTATGATGTCTAGGTTCATTTTCATTGACTTAAGCACTAGACAAAGGGCAGGGGCAGGGCTGAAAAATCAATAAATCTGCATCTGCGCAAAATGGACGGCCCTGCTAAAAATGTGAAAGTCTAAGCTAGTTGTAATGGATATCATCGAATATCTTGTGTTAATATGGTGCGTTTTACTTTTAACTTTATTAAGAGTTAAGATCTTAAGTTGAAAGTATTCATAGGATGTAAAAAGTTTTAGATTGTTCTCGTTTTAGTGCCAAAACCATGTCGTGTTACAAAGGGCGGAGGCTGCGTGTACCATTTTGTCTCGTGACGAAACTAGGTCATTTTTAAAACAAAGAAAACCCTAAAATTCTTTCAAAAATTAAGCAAAAAAACAAAGTAAATAACCAAACATAATTATCAATCCCAAAAATCGAGCAAAACCTGTAACAAAATTTTTTTCTTTTACAAGAAATTGAAACTTTAAAACCGACTTCTTATAGTATGGTAACCATTGTGTTAAACATCAAGGTTTTTACTTCCATGTATAAGCTTACAAGCAAGCTTTAGCAGATATGCGATAAAACTGTACAATATAATTTGATCAACTCATCTATACGATGCATAAAAACTGTCAAGCAAAACCTAATATGTATGTCCACTTTGATACACAAGTAAAAATCACAACCATATTCCTTAAATATTTGCCAGCCAAAACTTAAGCCTTCATTTGTTTTCAATCTTAAAATAATATTACACATCTATACACCTCGGGCATGACAGGACACAATCAATATCAGACAGCAGCTTTATTAGCATACATTATGAATCATACCACACGGTTTGCAGAAAAATTAGGAGAGTCAAGTTAAGTGTTAGCTCCTTTCGGTGGACAGCCATTGAGAGTATGGGCAATACATCGTCTTAACTTTTGGTGTCCGGACTGCCATTGTCAAGATGTCTGTGAAGAATGAAGTTCATGACAACCAAACAAAAAGCGACAAATCTAGTTTAATTTTTACTTAGAAACAAAAATAAACAATGATGATTCCTCACACATTAAAACCTCTAGACCTTGTTATACATGTCTTGTGAGCCTGTTTTGATAATTGAGAAACACATATATTTGAAATTAAATAAAATACTAAACAATCTAATTTTACGGTTTAGCATGTTTTTGCCATATCGGGCATGTATCAAGCGCAAAACAGAAAGTTCATGTTTGAACGAGTTCATCATGTGGCAAGCCACATTGGCATGTCTGAGATCCACCTAGAAGGCTCTCCATTTCACCTGGACTCCGTTACATTAATTTCCAGTTATGGTGATTATAAAACTAGGTCCGAAACACTTGATCATCATAACCCTATTTGCAGGATGTCGTCCCGACGGAACGGGTCGGTTTCCCGCGCCGCGGAGGCTGCCTCCAAGAACCGACTGCATATGGATAGGAATCCACAACACTCAAGGATCACAGGTACGCTAAAATTGAACATATTACATCCTTGCTTTACTTATTTTTCACTATCTTTAGTGACCCTAACCACTGATGATGACTTCATCATCATCATCATCAGCCTATATGTGCCCACTGCTGAGCAAAGGCCTCCTCTCACACGGAGAAGGTTGGAGCCTCTCACACGGAGAAGGATGGAGCATTAATCACCACACTTGCTCAATGCGGGTTGGCGATTTCAAACTTATGATTAGAAATTATAAGTCCAGGTTTCCTCACGATGTTTACCTTCACCGTATGTCAGTGGCGTCTAAATAATTATAGAAAGTACATATAACTTGGAAAAAGTCACATTGGTACTTGCCAGGTTTCGAACCCACACCCTCATGCATGAGAAGCGGGCTCCTTAACCTCCGGGCCACCACCACAGATGATGACTTAGCGCAACTAAATTGTAAAGCAATAGTATTGTTTCATTGTGAGGTAAATTAATCTACATTCATTAATGACTGAAATTACTTCTAATAAATTATTTCTCTCAACTCAATCATTACATGTCACCAATATCAATCACTTCTTAGAAAATTTGTAGATATTGCAGATAGAAGTTAACAGTTTGAAAGACAGATGCCTATTACAGGTATACACAGCGTTCATACATATACAACCTAATTATTTAAGAGAGGAAGAAAAGAGATAGTCTACTAATAATATGATGAATAATGTTGACAACATTAAAGAACCAATAATAGCTATCAATATCATATCAAGCAATACATGATATTATAACTTTTTATTTGGGCCAATGACCTTTTAAAATAAAGTGCTAGCAGCAAAATACTTGAGCTTAATATTATTAATGCTAAATATTTGAATATGTCTCTAATTGTGGTTTTCCCCACAGATCCTTCAAATCCGGCCGGTCGCCGGAAGGAAATAGACAACGTTATGAAGAGAGCCCGCCAGGCTTCTCCGGGCAGTTGGGACCGGAAACTGCTGGAGGTGGAGGAGAAAGACCCAAATCGGTAAGCTTATCTTAGTTATAATTATCATCATTTGAAATATGTCCAATGCTGAACGGACATTTCCACTATTAACAAGTATTGTTAGTGAGTTTGTGTTTGGGGGGAGCCGTTTGCTTACCATCAGGTAATACTCCAGCAATTCGGCGGTCTTTTTCCCATTAGATCATCAATCTATCCTTTTTTGTAGGGGAAAATCATCAAATGACTTGTGAACGCCCTGGTTGAGGCGAGATGAGTCAGACTCTTACTGAATAAAACCCCCTCGTTCCTTCTCCTGCTCCATGCCGAATTGAAGCTTTCGATCACGTAAAATTTCCTACATCTTACAAAAAGTAAGACACGAAATAAGTTGGGACCCATGAATGGGTTGGCTTGACCATAGTGATACCAAGGCCTCACAGAAAGCCCACGTGAAATGGCAGCGTTGGTTTTCGCAATCTCCTAAACTCACATCTCTTCCTCTATGTTCCATGTGTCCAGGGCCGGAGAAGTTATCAGATGATTTTCCATAATCAATAACAAAAAAAGGGTTGCCTGCCAACCGTGGAGATTAACTGTTATAACCTGCTATGTTCAGTAATGGACATATTCCAGTTGATAACAATGATTCTAAACATATAGTTTAACTCCGATTAGTTATCAATAGACTAATGGTGTAAGTTAAAGAAAAAAGTAAATTATAGAAATATTGCTATAAATAGTAATTGAGTCTTGTCCTAGTCGAAAATATTATTTTCGACTTTTAAACTATTCATACATTGTATGTACAATACATTTTATATTCGTAGCAAATTTTGGTCATAAAATACTTTTATTCCATCGTTTAGAATCCCTCCCCCCCGCCTCCCCATCTCCCTCCCAAAGCCGGCAATATTCAAAAGTTGTATTAAGTAAAAAAGATATCGTTAGAAGTGCTTCCTTGATAGGGTTTGAACCAGAGCAGGCAAACTCTAACTTCATACCTAGGCTCCTCCTCTAATTAGTCCCCCAGTACCCCTGCTCCTATCCGGCACTGTTAAATGCTTAAGGTGACCTGTCAGGTTCAATGATGTGAACATTGTAGATAGAGTCGTGACTACTTTAGCCAGTTTTTTTGCTTATTTTTTAATTTATGTTAGTTTTCTATTTCTTGCTAAGTTGCCACTTAATTTCGTTTGCTTGCAACACTGTTAATTTTTTCCTGGTAATTTGTAAAGAATATATTACCTACCTTTTTTGTACATGTTGTGTATAAGGTATCATGTCAAATCAAATCAAATTCTTTATTTCAAGTACACCACAACAGGCACTATTGAACGTCAAGCAAAAAAAAATCTAAATGTTTGACTTTAATGTATCAGTCTGTCCTCAAATGAAGCTATGTACTCGTTCTAAAGTGTAGATTCCTATGGAGAAGAACTAGCAAGACACTCCATGGTTACTCACACTGCCACCAAAAATAAACTCTTTGGTTTAGAAGGTGTGACTCAGGTCAGTTCAACTTCTGCCGGGGTTGCGGATGCAGTAATGTACCGCGACCTCTGCCCGGAGAAGGAAGAGTGGTGTGGTTTTTAGTCAAATTAAGAGTCGACACACAATCCAAGTTGGAAAAGCCAATTTATATGTATTCCAGCCTCAAAATAACTTACCTCTTCGCGTTTAAAAGGTGTGATTCAGATGAGGTCACCTCAAGATTTCGAATAAAATGTCCGTTTGTATTTAAAATATGCAAAGATTTTTTTGATCACATTTAATTCATATTATTGTAGCTGTAAACCAAACAAATACACTACGAGAAGTGTAAATCCTGCTTATGAAAAAATGATAATTTACTTCAATCTCTCATTATTTCTTTTTGTTTTGCATGATTTTATTTTTTTATGCTAAATTTTTAATAAAGAAGTAGTCAAAGATTCCTTTAAGGCTCAATTTACATTGCCACGGTATGATATTGAAGCGGTTAAGTCAATTTCCATTAGAACTATGATAAAATCGATTATTGAGATTGTGAGAATAGGCTTTGAGACAGCACTGTAACAATTAATTATGCTGTACGGCTCATTCACTGTTCGTCGAGATAACCCGAATAATTTCGAGCCCTGCCCGGATCCCATAGTCAAAAACAGTATGCCATAAGAGATGAGATACGGCGAATGTGGGTCATCGGCGAACTATTATGATGTTTTTTAGTATCCGACCTCTTCTTGACACTGGCGTACCCAGATTTTCTCTCAAAAGATGTCATATGAACCCGTCTTCCTACAATACCGAACTTTTCTAAATAAACCTTAAAGTCAACGTTCAGTAGAGATTGGAATATACGTTTCGGGAGGTTTATACCGGCCGTGGTCACAAGTGACCGTATGTAAAATTATTTATAACAAGCTACTCTCACGCGGTTTCACCCGCTACGCGGCTTCATTTGATCTTAGCGTGATGTTTTAGCCTATAGCACTCAGGGACATTGTAGCTATATATCAGTGAAAGAATTTTGGCAATCCGACGAGAAATCCGAGTGGTTCCAAAGATTACCCTCTGCATACAAACTTATAATATTAGTATATACTAGCGACCGCCCGCGGCTTCGCACGGGTACAACAATGTTATTAAATTTCTCTACTATTTCATAGATGTTATTATAGATATAAATATAAACCTTCCTCTTCAATAACTATCTATTAAAAAAACCGCACAAGTTCGGTTGCGTAGTTTTAAAGATTTAAGCCTACATAGTGATATAGGAACAGAGAAAGCGACTTTGTTTTATACTATGTAGTGATTTTGTAAAAGAAATAGCAAAATCAATAAGAGTCATTCATTGCCAAAACCTCGCTTCTGTAGCATCCCGTGGCATTGCAAATTGAGCCTTATTGACTATGTCACATCGTTTGAACAGGTGGCGTCACACTGGATACAAACAGCTGTACCTCGATGGGTCCAAGTCACCGTCGCCCAGGAGGTCTCGCTCCCCGGCTGTTAGGCGATCCAGGTGAAATAATAACTTTCATATGAAATTTGCACTTGTAAAAACATTAATAAATGTGCAAAAATGCCTAGTACTCACGTATGTCGTTTAATGTTCAAAGTCCTATCAACCGGGGCTGCGGAGTTGGAGAGAGTGGGTTTTAGTCAGTAAGAGTCTGACACTCCCTCTTGCCCCACCCAGAGTAGGAAGTCATTAGACGATTTTCTCCCCTCAGAAAAAAGGCCGACATTATATTGTTTTGAGTTTATTAATGAAATGGAAAAAAAATACGAGATATCATTTTTTATTTATATTGTTTTAAGAGTAGGTGTGGGTTAGTGCGCACAGCTATGCATCTAGTCATGATTATTTAATCTTGAAGATGTTTATAGTGTCAACATAATTTAACTCACAAATTTTTGATATGTAAAATATATATATAATTGTTAACAGGACACCACTGCCGAGTCGTCGGTCCCGATCTCCAATAGGTCGACGGTCCCGCTCGCCCGTAGGGCGCCGGTCGCCGCGCAAGTCGCGCTCCCGTTCCGCCAGGCGTAGCCCTAGGCGCAGTCCCAGAAGGAGCCCGATTAGGTGAGATTTTGTTCAACAACTGTAGCCTTTAAGATATTTAGACGATCCATTCCTATGCGTATTTACTGCAGCGAGTACAGTATGAGGTTACGTAAGTTCGTTAAAAGGAATACGATGTGAAATTGTATGTTTGTAAAAGCACCCATGCATGACCTAGAAGAAACATTTTGTCTCACACTCGAAAAAAATAATAGAAATAAATCATTTGACCAGGCAAAGAGTTCATACTGTTCAACAGCTGTATGCATAACAAATCCTACATCACTTGTATGATGTAGGATTTGTTTTAAAATGGGCATTCTTGAATGTTCTGTATTAGCACCATTATTTTTTACTTGCTATAAACTAGTGCTTGACTGCGATCCTACCTGATGGTAAGCAGTGATGCAATCGTTGATGGTAAGGCGCACTAGTTTATTGAGAGCCTATTCACTCTAGCCTAGTTATTGCCTCAATGGTCTGGTACAAAGAGTCGATATACTCAACAGCTCTGTAATTAGGAAATTTTAATCCAATGTTATCATGAAAATGTTCCCGCACAGACGCAGTCCGGCCCGAAGCCCCCGGCGGCGCTCTCCCCGCGCGCCCCCTCCACGTCGCGACGCGCGACGTCCACCACCAGCTCGCCCAGCCAGACCGCCGTCACCGCCAGATCCAAGAAAGGTATACCATTTCAAATTATCCTCATTTTACATATTTCTCATCATATTTCAGACATCCTATCAAGAAGCCACAAAAAAAGTTTAATTTAGTTAGTTGCTATAGCTTTGAGTTAATTAACTTGCATCTCTTGTGGTAAGGATGCACGCTCGAAACCTGGCGAGTACCAATATTCAAGTCATGTGTGGGTGGGTGATTCTCCAAAAAACCTTAACTTTTATTTAACAAGTCATTATCCTCCCAGGTTTTTAAGCATCTTAGTAATTTATTGTATACAATATTTTTAATCGGTTGCTTGTAAGCAGTGGTGAGATTTAATTTAATAAAATAATTATCTGTGTTTTAATCAGCAGACTCGTTAATTTTCGGTTGAGGATAATGACATTATTAATTTTTTTTAATTGATGTGAAGAATCACCTGGGTACTAAGTTTTATTAGGCATCAGTGACATACTGAAAAAGAGCATTGATAGGTTGGCAAACGAGCGTACGGATTACCTATGCAATACTGCAATACTAAAAGAGTTTCGAGTGCGTTGCCGGCCTTTTCGGTATAAAGATTTCGGATATCTAAGGATTGGGAAGGGGTGACGGGGGATGGATTGGCACTCCGGTAACCACGTCGGTTTTCTATGAGGCAGTTACATCACTCCGATCAAGCCGACCCATTCGTGCCGAAGCATGGCTCTCCCACACTTAAAAAACCAGGAAGACCGCCTTATGTGTTTGATGATAAAACAGTAAAAATTAAAATACTAATAATAATTTTTCTTTTTCGTACCAGTCGTCAGGATCAGGTTCCTCGGTGAGCAGTTGTTCAGACGAGTCATGCTCTGTGTGCTCTGCCAAGAACAAGAAGACTGCGCCACCACAACCTCCCAAAGGCGTTAAACCCATGTAAGCAGATGTTTCAATTTATGATTGAAAGAAAAAAAAAACTATTAGGCACCATATTCTGTGTGATGCAGCAACAAGAACAATAGCAACTAATTCAACAAGAAAGTTAGTAGATTTAAAAAGTAAAGTTATAATTACTTGAAATTGTTGTGTCAGTTCAAATCCCGGATAGGTCTTTGCTATGGAATTTTATTTTGTTCCTACAGTTTAGTACTTAACTATATTAGCGTAAACAAGCGATCAAACATTTGGTCTGCTGCACTATTGTTCTCAAATGTGTATTAAATATTGTATTGGGGAAAGTATCGCATTCCTTCTCCATTAGAAGTAAAATATATTTTACTAAGGTGTTCCTTTCTCTTTCTTCTCAATTGGAATGAGTTAACCTCGCTTTATTGACGAACAGACTGACAGAATATTATTCTATTTTGATGATTATGGTTTAGTTGGAGTGTGGACTTCCATTAAGGGATCATTATCCCTTATAAGCTTATCGTCTTGACGTCTATTATAAATTGTATTATTCATATTTAGTCCCCCCGCTACGCGCGAACCGCCGGCTCGACCCGCGGCGCGCGCTGTGCAACCTACGCGCGAGCTACTGAAAGCACGCGAGGCTAGCAAGCGGACCAGGGAGGAGAAGGTATGTTTAGATGAAAGAACTTATGAACATGTTACAAAATTTATTTGGTTAAGTTGGTGACTTATGGCGAATTTATGGTTCTTTTCGAGCACTCTCGATTAATTTCGAGCTTCACCGTGACTCATAATACAGTACAGCTTTCGTGTGCCATTGAAATTGATATTATATAAGATAATAATTTTACCTGCAGAAAATTGCGATTTTTTTTTTCATCCTTCATTTTCGGATAGGCCAATAGGCCAATATTAGTTTTCTACTCACAAGAACTTACCATAAAGTTTCCACAATAAATGCTCTTATGAGTGTCTTAGAAAAGAGCTTTCAATGCGCATCCACATTCATATACAGCTTACCATGAGACTACAATCACAACTTATCCTTTCGCGATGGAAATCATAAAATGTCTTCCGCACCACCAGTCATCAAGTTAAAAAACTCACATGACAATTGTATCGCTAAAAAAATTCAAAAACATTCCCTAGGTATTAGAATGGCAACGCACACAGATGGCAGTGCGCCCTCCAGTCCCCGCCACCCACATCAAACGCGAAGGCGAGCGCAGGCCTGCGCCCCCAGCGGCCGCGCCCCCGCGTCCCAGCCGACGAGACCCGCGCGATCCCCGCGCCGTCTCTCCGGCCGCCATCGCCGCCGCGCTCAACGACAGTGATTCGGATTCTGAGTCTGATGCAAGCTCTGATCCGCAGCCCCAGAGGTAAAGAAAGAAAACAGTTTATTTGTACCATTTCTTTTTAATAGGAAATCTCAATAGACTGTTCAGCTGTGGGACGGGCGGATTTAAAAGGCTGAAAATAAATTTTAATTTATAAACCTTATAAATTTTAATTTGTTACATACATTGGCTCATTGGTATAATGTTTTATTTTTTTTGAGCATATATAAACATATAAATTACATTTTTAAATATTTCTTAAAAATAAATAATAAAAAACATTTAAAAATATAAAAATAGTGTCCCACCGGTATTGGGAACAGGTTATTTTTTTATTATTAGTCTTTTTTGGATAATTCAATTTTGATTTAACTGTAAATTAATATTCGTAGATATTTCTCTTATCCCATTTTTGGTCCTAATTTGCTCTGCGCATTGACCACCGCAGCATCAAAGGAAATACAAGTGCGTTGCCGACCGTGAGGGTTATTCAAGATTGGTCTATTCCTCCTCCTCCCACATCTCGTGGGCCAAGCTTTTAGTTAAGTTGCTTATCAGGGAAATTATTCATCAAATTCACCTCTGTCACACAGGCTAACCCTATCAGAGCGTTTCGGCAAGATGGCCCAATGGTCGGCGGACAGGTCGGCCCGACTGGAGAACATGCGCATCACGCGGCGTGAAACCACGCTGCATGTCCGTATTGAACGCGACGAGTCTGCTACGCCTGCCCCAGTTGCGCCGCAGCCCTACCCGTAAGTTACTCTTTTACTTGTATTTTTAAGTATGTTTGAAGATTTACGCATACTCTGCGAAATAATTATTACGATAGGAATGTTAATGGTAACACAGTCTCGGGCTGTACCAGTTGGCATTTCTTACCTCTTTCACTTCACTACATTCATCAATTCCTTAATGTTCATGTATGCTGGTTGCGAGCAGTCATGCTGAAAAACTGCAAGCCAAATCATAAGGCTGAAGAAGTAATTGGATGACTACCTTATTATTTGATTCTTTTTTTTTTGACGAAAAGCTAATAAATAACACCTTTACAAATGTAATAGCGAATAAAATTACACACTTAAAGACTCAAATACATAATAAAAGAAACAAAATAGAGAAAAATGAAAATATATTGATTTGTCTGTGCGTAAGAGTGCTGAATGGGTCTCCTCTGCACCATTTTGTATAGCACAAAACTCAGTCTTCAGAACAGTCGGATAGAACATGCTAGCTTAGTATTAAAATACTGATGTTATGATACATGCTATTATATATATAACTTATCCACAGAAATAAAATCACTAAATAGTATAAAACAAAGTCTCTTTCTCTGTACCTATATCCGTTTGTATACTTAAATCTAAACAACTACAAAGCGGATTTTGTTGGTATGTTTAATAACATCCAATAAATAGTGGAGAAATTTAGTATCAGCATTGTAAACATGCGAAAGAAGGGCGGGTCACTCGTAAATTATATTTAACACTCAACGATATAAATTTCATTTAGCATAACGCCTAAACCTAATATCTCTTCCTCAGAGCCTTGGAAGGTGCTGCAGCAGGAAGCTACCCCGAGGAGCTACTGCTGGCGGCGCCGGCCGGGCTACCTTCCTGGGACGATGTAAGGGTGCGGTACGACTACTACAAGAAGCGGGGATATCTAAGAGGTAACATTTGATAGGAAATCAGATAACTAAATCTGTAAAGTCCACTTTTTCTATTACTTAAACTTTGCTGTCTTTTTGTTGTTCCTAAGACGGGAGTTTGTTAACTGTTGTAGTTTTGTCAGTGGAACACAATTCATATGAGATCAGTTTACAAAAATAGTTTTTAATTCAGAATGGTTTAACATACAACAATGTTGTACGTTTTTGTTTCCCTAGAACTTAGAAAAAAAAATAGTTAAACAGCATTATACAGTATACTTACATCAAGATAAAACATATTAAAAGCAAGTCTTCACAATTAACACCTGGGTATTAAAAAATAACTATTAACTTGCAATTTAAAAGATGAATAAAAATTAGTAATATTATGCAGTAAAATCAACACTTAGATGCCACCAGGTGAAAAAATGATGGTGACTAGCAGGAAGCATATCAAACCATTTACATAAATTGGTTAATAAATTGATAGTCTCCTAACACTTTTTCTATTCACTAATTAACTCGATAACTTATTCCTTATTATCTTCATTATTCAGGTCTTACACTGGGCGATTATGTAAAATGGGAAGAATGGTGGTACAAGTACCAAGAATGGCTGAAACACGAGCGAGCCTACGAGAGATGGGCTGAAGGAGAGGTTGGAACGGTGAGTTTTTCATCCTAGTTTATATATTACTACTGTAGAAAAAAATTTACGGTCGCATATGTTGACTGCACGGTTGGTGCGGTGGCTGGGCAACTGACTGCCGTGCAACATGTCGCGGGTTCGATTCCCACACGGAACAACTCTGTGTGATCCACAAATTGTTGTTCCTGGTCTGGGTGTCATGTGTATGTGAAATTGTATGTTTGTAACCGCACTCACGACACCAAAAATCCTAATGTGGGTTTTTTTTTTTTAATTTACTCTGGTTGAGCTTAGCGAATAAGTGTGGGAGAGCAGAGCTTCGGCACGAATGGGTCGGCTCGACCGGAGTGGTACCACGGCCTCACAGAATACCGGCGTGAAACAACCCACAGCGTTGTGTTTCGCCGTGTGAGTGAGGTTACCGGAGGCCCAATCCCTCCCCTTCCCCTATCCCTTCCCAATCCTTATATCGGCAACCCCCATCCCCAAAAGGCCGGCAACGCACTCGTAACTCCTTTGGTGTTGCGGGTGTCCATGGGCGGCGCCGATTGCTTACCATCAAGTAATCCGTCCGCTCGTTTTCCGACTTATACCATAAAAAAAGCAATTTTTTGTAGACAGGTGTATAAAAAATACCAACAATTACCGAAATCTTGCATCCAACTAAACTAGTTCTCAAGTGTTGGAGAGCCATATTACGGAATGAATGAGTCCGATCGACCTGTATGATATTACGGCCTCACAGAATAGGGCGTGATAACACGCTTGCGTTGTGTTTCCAGTTGAGATGACTGGAGGGACGATCCTCAATTCCCTAACCGACTTGCTGTTGCGAACGGCCATGGGCGCCGATTGCTAACCATCCGATAATAAGGCAGTTCAGTTGCCGATGTATTCCACAAAAAAGAAATAACTGCACATCACAAACAATATTTAAATGTTTCAAGTTTTACGAAGAAAACAATATATTTTTTTACAAACTAAATAACTATATTTATTATATCAGGTACGTCGCGAGAGGCGACGTCGAGGCGGGCGCCACAGAAGGAGCTGAGGACGCGCCGCCCCCGCTGCCGTCCTGTCCGTGGACTTGGCAGCGGGGGCTCTCCCCGACGTCATCTAGGGGAGAACTCTGGACACTACATAGTGCCAACTTAGTGATAGTGTACAGTGTTAGATGAAGCGTAAAGACACATCTCCAATGTGATATAAAGCTTCAGTAAGCCTTAAATATTAATTAAAATAACTTTCTTTACTTGTGTTGCGACAAAAACGGGTTGGAACGCTTCGAGTGAGAATGATTTCCAAGATGACCAAATACAGCTTCAGTCAGCGAAGATTACTTCCTTCCGAGAGTGTTTCATAAACTGACTGTGTGAGCGGCTGAGTCAGAGCGAGGAGTTGGTGTAAGATATGTTGTGCAGATGGACTGACGTCCGCCACAGTTCGGTCAGTATGGAAAAACGCGCTTTTGTGCGACGATGGAACTGACTGGCGAGCTGTAAGATGTTTGAGAGTCGGAACAGTAAGGACGCGTCGTGACAAGGCAAGCCTGTCTCTCCAAACTGTAAATACATATCTGCACTGAAAAGTCACTCTTTAGTGCGTAATAGTGCATAATAAGTAAAATGAACAATGAATTTCGTATATGGACGCTTTAAAGTGCCATCAGCCTACAAAAGTCATTCTTTAATGCGTAAGTTAGAGCTGATTAATACGAGGTTCGTACTCAACAGATGTTTTAAGCGCAGTAATTGTTGTAAAAGGACGCTCTTGAGTGCCCCTGCATTATGGAAGTCACTTATGGTGCGTAACTAATGCAGGCTACCGTTAGTCAAAGTGAAGCCGCGAATCAAAGTAGGTTAATGGCCACGGAAGTCACTTTTAGTGCGTAAGCTGGCCCAACTAACTTGTAAGATGTAAAACTTAAATCAATGTTATATTATTGTAAGAATTTGGACACTATAGTGCAAAGAAAAGTGTAAAACAAATACCAATCAACCATTTTTCACCGTTATGTGAAGGTAAAGTTGAAAAATGGTTGATCGCAGCCTTCAAAGGCTTTCTACTCTTGCATGTAAATTGTCGATGTTTTTTGTAACTACATCATAAGATTTCTGTATAAAGATTCTGTCTGTCTGTCTGCGTTTTACGAGTGCTGACGTACGATACATTTTATTACACGGACATGACATGGCGATGCGCACGTCAACTTGCGAAAAACGCTTCTTTTATTGTAAAAAAAACAACAATGAATTTATAGTATGTTTTGGCTTTGTCAATACCCCATGATGAAGCCAAAACATATTCTATTACATACATATTGGCTACCTATTTTCAAAATTTGATGTGCAAATGAAATGGTGGAGGCTATAATAGCCTATCGACTAGGTTGGGAGTCTGCAATGCGTCTTAGCAAGGCCAGAGCTTCTGACTACCAGTAAATACTGAAATATAGGCTGTTCTAAACATCTAAGTCGCCACAGTATAGAGTGGGTCGACGTCTCCCCATATCTATACTTGATTCTAAAGTTACCTAAGTCGGTAATACCATTGCGTTTGCACTAGAAATTCAAAATCTTTTTCTTAAATGTATAGAATGTTTGTGTAGTTCGTGTCCTAAAGTCGAAATGGATTTTGTTTTTCGAAAAATTTATCTAGCGTTTTCGTAAATTGAGATATTTGTGTAAGATCTACATTTCCTCAACTCGCGTCTGCTTATCTTGTTTCGTAGACTACAAGACACGCAAACCCGAGTTTGATGGCCTCAAAATGTGGAAACGCTAAATAAATTTTCAATAATTTACAAAACTGACGATCAAATTGATTTATTTACGTTGACAATCATGTTAAAATCTATTATTATTTTTAAAATTCGGAATCGTTCTTGTAATATAATTATGTTTTCCAATCATTTCGGCTCCTATGTACTGTAAATATGAATGTGTATGGTGTCTGAAAAAGCTTAAAAATGAAAAAATAACGTATATTAATTTATAATTTAATTTTTTATCAATATATAAGTTGATTATTTTTGGCCGAATTAAGGATCTGTGTACCCTTTTGATAGGGTATTACTGCAAATTTAATTCGTGAGTTGAGCTCACGTTGGCAACCCATAAGTTGTTTTAAGGCTTTTTAAATAATAATAAATAATTCTTAAAATAATAATAGTAATGTAACATTTCGCTTATTTTAAGTTACAAGGGCCTGTTTTACGTGGCTAAATAGCCACTGATCAGGTCCTAAACATTTAAGTTTCACGGCCAAATTCAATATTTCATTAAAAATATATGCCTAATATAAAAACTACACTTATGGGTCTTTATAATACACAATTTTAACCCCACAAAAATTTGATGGGGCACAGCAATTATGAAAAATAAATCTCAAAGTATTTGTGACCTTTATATAAAAAAATTAAACAGGTGATGAAGAGGGAGTTACTAATACATCTCCGTTTTATTATTATTTTCATTTAGATTTTATTAGAAGTACAATTTCCAATATTTATTTTGAAAAATTTATTTACAGTCTTTTTATCGTAGGCATAGGTTTATTATGTATAGATTTAAGTATGTATGTTTGTGTACATTTTTGTTTGTTCATGCTTAGGCCAGACGCCAGCGCATAAAGCTATCCGATACTATCAAAATTATTTAATGTGGAGACAGTTAAAATCCTTAATAAGAATTTCCCAACGAGATTGATATAATAAAATTGACCACCTAAACTTCCCTGTAGGCATCACAGCTGACTTTAACAATGCCTTATAAATACAACTCTGAACCATTTTACAAGAAATTTGATAATATGTCTGATTTCCATCGCTGTTAGCCCAATAAATACTATCAGGGCTGGTCGGGAGTTACCATTCTCTCCAAACTCAGGAATAATTACATCTTTTTCCTTAAACATCTAACCAAATCTTAAAGTTGCTAATTGATTAAAGAAATTTGTTAGAATGGGATAGCTTCATACGCTGGCGTCTGAATTTTTTGTATAGGTACTTCTATCGGTGAGAAAAAAGCCTACGCCACGCCCAATTTAAGTGGACCCCCATAGCCTGAGAATTTCTGCAACCAACTGTATAATAGGGTAGTTTCCAACCAGTCAAATTTAATACTAATGTATTTGGAATATCAAATACGTAAATTTTACAATGAATTTTTGTATGAAATAACTCTGTGTTGTCATAATTTTTTTCTCTACGTCATTTCTAACATTAAGTTCGTAAAATTTATGTGTGGAGGTGCTTTATTGGTATTATCAGTTGAAATTACTTGTTTTTCACTTGGGAAACTACCCTTTCTGCGCTAGTTATGGCGGACTAATCCCTACGGTGTCCTCGGAGTTAAAAACCCCGGCGTGGGCCATAAAAGCTACTTTCAAACTAAATGATCGCCTCACTGAGGGCATCTGGGCTGGGCTCAGCAGGAATGAAAAGCAAGCATGAACAAACAAATCATCATCAATCATATTAATAATATAATCCAATAAATTGATACGTAAGTCATTGTATTTACGCGTAGTTGTACAGTCAATGATTTTTCAAGGCCCGAGTGAATAGGTTGCTTACAGGTAGGCCTGCTCCATCGTTGGTCGCATCATCGCTTATCACCAGGCGATTTACTGGCATAACCTTTCATAACTAAGACATCTAAGGCCTGATTTTTCAATGGTCAGATAAAAGTTACCTGGGGAATAATTATGATGCTGTCGCGTCAGAATGTTTGTATAAGACGGTGACAGCAACAATTTTATTCCTCAGATAACTTTTATCTAACCGTTGTAAAATTAGCTCTAAGACTATGAAAATTAATCTTGTAATAGTCTAATTTCTATGCAAAAGTTGTTGTTGTTGTTGCTAATGGTCTGAGTCACATCACTGAAACTGCGTAAAAATTAATGTCTTGAAGTCTGATGTTTCTCCACGAGACGGTTTTAATGGCGTCATCTAGTGTGCTTTCATTGATTGTACGGCTTACTCATTTTGTTGGCTGCATTTTTATACAGCTTTGGGTAATAGTACCTATCTAATGTTTAATCAAACAGATATTTTCTAAGAACCAGCTTGAAGACTAGTAACTGGGAAATGTAATTGCTGAACCCTTTTTACTATGTCTAGGCGTCTTCAGAAACATCAAACGCTAGATGAATGAGTTAATATTATCTTTAGAATGTGTGGGAGAGTCATGCTTCGGCACTGCTAGGCCGGCTCGACCGGAGTGACACCACTTCCTCACAGAAAGCCGTCGCGAAAAAACCACAGCGTTGTGTTTCGTCGTATGAATGAAGTTACCACCGCAGTACGAATTCAATTTCCCATACAATTACCCTTATCTTCAGTTAAATAATCTCTAAAACACTGGCAACGTACTTATAATTCCTCTGGTGTCGCGTGTCTCTGAATGCCGCAGCTTTTAAGTGATCATCCCTATCCCACAAAAAGATTAATGTCATCAGATCTTTTTCTTTTCTGCACTAGTTCTTCTAGCGTTTAAGCTTAGGGGGGACTATTTCAAACTCTTAGGTTGACTTTTTAAAAGCTTTAATAGAAATGCAGCGAACAACTCCATATGTCATTGTGTGTTTGAGATATTAGAATAATCGAAATCATGCAATTTAGCTGATAAGCATAGTGATATGTGGTCAGTATAGGCGTCAAAATCTAAAGGGTAACATCTTTAGCAAGACATGGAGACAAGGAAACGTTCACGCGGGACTTAAAATAGTTTTTAGTCATTAACAACTGAATTGGAAGTCTTAAAATACTTTTTCGACTTCAATATGGGAAAGTATGGATTGTTAAATACACTATTCTCAATTTCGTTCAGCCATTTTGGTCTTATAAGTCTGTTTTAATCCAAAGTATCCCAGTAACATGTTAGGCAATATTTTTGTGTTTACACAAAAACTACTAAGCCGATTTTGATGGGATTTTCATTCAGATGGTTTGGATTGAGACAGGAGTATGGGAACAAAGCAGTCGAAGTTGCGGGAAAGAAATACTGGCCGTATATCGCTTTAAAAATGTCACTGATTTGGATATCTTACAAATATATATAAGGAATTATTTGTATGTACGTGAGTCTGTCGTTTGCTAAGAATTTTAATAATTATTCTTGAACTGTTCAGTTACTATTTTGTCCCGGTGTAAACTGCAGTATGGTCGTAAGTCTAACACCAAGTTACAAAAATAATTCATTAATGTATTTGTAAGAGAATCCCTGGAGTGACATTTTTACTAACTGGTCTAGATTATAATCCATCTTCGAATATTATTTTCCTAGAATAGTAGATTCAAATGATTTAATTATACATATTTTTTATTTAATTAAAGTTCAGCTGATTATATAATTTGTGGTTTCATTTGTTTATCATCCCTTTAGTCATTTCCTGCTACTCCTAGTTGACGCGGTAGCTGGGCTAATGGCTACCGTACATCGTGTTGCGGGGGCGATTCCCGCACGGAACAATTCTGTCCAACTGTGGAATAGTATGTTAGTAGCGCAGACGTACCGACGGGCGTGCATTCGTGCAGCGGAATGTTGTTGAATTTAAAGATTTTAATTATGCAGATATTTAGTGTATGACGTTGTATAATTGTGTATGGTATGGTATAATTGTGTATCTTTTAAACCCTACGATTTTTTCTAAATCTGTTTTTTAAACAAATATAAACAAATTCAAAACAACGTATGTAAAAATCTACAGCTCTCTATGTAAGCGCTTTATATGAAAACTAGCTAATGGCCAAACGTTCGCGTAGCGGAAACTTGAATATCTCCGAAGTTTATGCATGCACTAGTTTTATTCATACATACACAATTACACACTAATTTTTGGATACATCTCTTTTCTTCTAAAGTCTATGGATTAAAAAAAGTTCCGCCAGGACAACGTTCGCCCAGCGGAATCAGTTTTTGGTGAATTTCTCCACAATGGTTGCGTGCACAATTTTTTTTTTACCATACACAATTATAAGACGTCATACACTAAATACCTGCATAATTAAAATCTTTAAATTCAACAACATTCCGCTGCACGAACGCACGCGGGAAAATCGTCAAATTGCTTTCCGCCCTGAGCGGGGCGCCCGTTAGGGAGTATCGACTTACTAACCAAAAACCACCACAGTCCTGCTCCTGGTTGTTCCCGCGGCACATTTTTGCGCTTGCCCTGCAGCCCCGGCCGAATATCAGCCGTATTGGTGTCCGTTACCCAGGCCAGATGTTGTCGACAATGGTCATTTGAATCTTATAGATAATTAGTTGTGCGGCTTCTGTAATTGTTGCGCACATTTTTAAATTTGTTGTGCTTATAGTTTTTTAATTATTTCACAAAAACATTTCCTGCTGGCGTAACGTTACCACAGCCAGACTTTTTTCTTTCTAATGGGAATATTTAAATAAATATTAGCTATAAAATTAGTTGTCTAGATAAAGTAAATGTTGTGCCTTATTTTGTATTTGTTCTTTCTTCGGTTGCGAAGTTATTCGAGATTTTGCTGCGGTAACGTTTTTGGTTTTGCTAAATCTTTGAAATGGTTAAGCGGATTCTTATCATATTTTGTACACGACTTCCGAGGACTTAGTTTAAATTTGTTGTGCAATAACAAAACCAAAATAATGCATATTTTAAAGGTTTTTTCATTAAATAGAAAAACACTTCAATTGGCCCCAGCACTCTCAATAAGAAGTCTAAAGACTTACTTTAAACGTAATTTTAAAGCTTGTAACTGCCTTCAAATGTATGTGAAGTTTCATTAGTATCCCGTAAGTATTTAACAAGTTATAATGATATTCAGTTCTTCACGAGCACGGTCTTAATGCACGCGGTATTATTTGGCCACTGGATTGGATATATGAACTGAATGTTATGTCAATGATTAGTTGTTTAGATCAGTTGTATATCAGTAAAATTTCAGCTCAATACATAGGATAATTAATGAGATAATACTATTAAAGTCATTAGGAAGTGTATGACCGTGGTAAGCCGACCAAGTTTAGGTGGTTACGAAAAAGCGAAAACGCAGAACATTATGGTACCTTCTAAAATATGTAGGATAGTGTTATAAAATTAGTACAGACATGTACAAAAGTTTAAAAAAAACTACATGATTATTCAAGATTTTTTATTGAAAGGTAAAATAATCATTTCAATTGAACTTTTACTCCCTTACTTATAAAAACTTGTGTTGCTTAGCAACCGATTAAACATCACCCGTCCTTGTCATTTCTATTTCAAAATGCAGTTCAAAAATCATCTAAAAGGTTACAAAAGTAACCTTCTGGCAAGACTGAGTGCGTTATGCAAACAATGTATTACCCCTTCACCCCACTCCTCCTGCGTCCTACCGAACGGCATGCTCTAGCGGTGATTTTTGATAATTTTGTGGAACTGGAAGATAATGTTTTCTTTTATATTATTATTATATAGGTATTTAACAGTGTACGCGTCTGTACCGAAATTGTAAGGTGTATTATACTAAACATTTCAAAAGATAGTACAAATTTCTGCGTTTTCGCTTTTTCGTAACCACCTAAACTTGGTCGGCTTACCACGGTCATTCACTTCCTAATGACTTTAATAGTATTATCTCATTAATTATCCTATGTATTGAGCTGAAATTTTACTGATATACAACTGATCTAAACAACTAATCATTGACATAACATTCAGTTCATATATCCAATCCAGTGGCCAAATAACACCGCGTGCATTAAGACCGTGCTCGTGAAGAACTGAATATCATTATAACTCATTAAATACTTACGGGATACTAATGAAACTTCACATACATTTGAAGGCAGTTACAAGCTTTAAAATTACGTTTAAAGTAAGTCTTTAGACTTCTTATTGAGAGTGCTGGGGCCAATTGAAGTGTTTTTTTATTTAATGAAAAAACCCTTAAAATATGCATTATTTTGGTTTTGTTTTTGCACAACAAATTTAAACTAAGTCCTCGGAAGCCGTGTACAAAATATGATAAGAATCCGCTTAACCATTTCAAAGATCTAGCAAAACCAAAAACGTTACCGCAGCAAAATCTCGAATAACTTCGCAACCGAAGAAAGAAAAAATACAAAATAAGGCACAACATTTACTTTATCTAGACAACTAATTTTATAGCTAATATTTATTTAAATATTCCCATTAGAAAGAAAAAGGTCTGGCTGTGGTAACGTTACGCCAGCAGGAAATGTTTTTGTGAAATAATTAAAAAACTATAAGCACAACAAATTTAAAAATGTGCGCAACAATTACAGAAGCCGCACAACTAATTATCTATAAGATTCAAATGACCATTGTCGACAACATCTGGCCTGGGTAACGGACACGCCGTATTGGGACGTCTATTGGCTTATTGAGGCACTAAATAAAAGTGAACAGATGTTGGGAAATTGTTCTATGATATTCAACTTAATAGTTTGTTTGAACGCGCTTAACTCCAGAAGTAAATAGTGGAAATAATTTAATAATTATTTTCATATTTGATAGTCCATTTATCCAAGAGTGCTATGAGTATATAAAAAAATCACGCAACGACCATAAGAAACCGAGCGCAGCGGGTGGCGGGTAAACTGCGCGAAGCTAGAAAGTCAGTCAGTAATAGTACTATAGGCACCTTTGACTAACAAAATTGTAAATAAAAGGTTAAAACTGTGTTAGTGTCAGTCTGTCCTCTAGTGATGCTATTTGCTCGTTCCAAAGTGTAGATTCCTATGGAGAAGAACGAGCAACAAATTACATGGTTACTCTTTCAGTTTCAAAATTAGATTCTTTGGTACATTACCTAAGTAGTTCTATTATGTAAAAACAGTGTAACACTAATGTTCAACCAAAGAAAATCAAAATAATCTAATTATACAGTGTCGAGTTAACCAGTATCAATTGACGGCGCTCGTTCACGAACATGACACGTACACCAGCACCGTCCAACTCGAAGATACTCGTATTATAGGGAACCGAGCGATTGATTGCCCAGATGGGACTTTATAAAAAAACAATAATAATAAAATTACAAAATATTTTATTATAAAAAACTATTTATAATAGGTCTAAAATAACCTTAAGAATAACACAGTATTATAAATATATATTTTAGAACAATATTGTCTCCAAATTCAAAAACCGTCAACGGCTTTTCAGTTCTTATACAATTAACTATAGATTTTCACAATGTCTGGATAAACTTCTGTTAATTTAACTGACGATGTCAGTATAAATGCTAAATTTAAGAAACCTAAATTCAAATAACCCGCTCCTGCCTTACCGCTACAAATTCAACTATTAATAGATGTTATCATACACATGAACCTTCCTCTTCAATCACACTACCGGATCTATTGAAAAAAACTCGAGTGAAATAAAAAATAAAATGTTTTTTTATTATACATGCGAGAAGAGGCTTTTGCTCAGCAGTGGACACATATAGGCTAATGATGATGATGATGATGTATATCAAGAAATATTTCAAGATTTTCAAGACAACAAGAAGACAGATTTTGATCCAAACTACATCTAAGTTACATGTAGGATTAAGGTTTTCAGAAATACATAAGTAGAAATACATGTATCGTCACGCCTCAATAGGGTTAGCAGGGATAATGGAACGACAAATGCTTCGATTTTGACATACCTAGCTTCATCTACATTAATAAAAAAATTTCAGACATTATGAAAAAGGTTTTTTATTCATTTAACTTTGGTTGCCTTATCCTGCGAGGGCGTGTTTTGGTCTCAGTCAATTTCCCAGGACTAGTTGCCCTTTTTAAGGCCCTATCCTTTTCTTCCTTCCTAGATGACCTAGGAGCATCTAGGTTTTTGGAATTTTCCTTTTGGGGCACAGCTTTTGGCGTGGAAAATTCGTGTTCCAAATTTTTCACTATACCTTTTCTTAATGTGGATTTTGAGTATGTTTTTATAGTGTTTAAAGGTGTGAAAAATTGTTCCGGTGTCGACATGGGGGTAAAAAATTCATTGGACTTGTCAGTTTTTTCGTTAACTGGAGTTTTGGCCGTGTCTGTGACGGTAATCACCGGTTTTCGAGACGGTCTTGGTGTTAGGATTTCTAAAACCGGTTTCGATGTTACTGGGACGGGTATTTTGAATTCGGAAACCGGTTTTCTAGGCTTCGGTTTCTCTTCTTTCTCATCCGAACTGTTTTCGTCTAGGTTAAGTTTTATAACTTTGCGTTTTTTCGGCAATTCCTCGTCTTTGACTCTCCTAGCCGACATTTGGGGCAGTTTAGGCTTCGATTCCGGTGTTTTATCACCTTCGGTCCTCATTTTCGGACTTAATTTAAGATTTTCAAATTCACTTTCAAGATCGAACTCTTGTTTTTTGACGACATTCCTCAGTCTAGCTGACGCTACCATCAAATTCATAATTTCATTGTTCAAATAAGCATCATCAATTCGCATATCCTGGCAAATTTCATGAATAGTCACAATATAATCATCGGCCGCATCAAAATTTCCATTTTTCATCTCAAAAAAGGACGCTTCGATCAAAATCTCTAGCTTAACTTTCTTAAATTGATCTTCGAAGATGGATTTTACATGATCGACAATGTATTTTTCGAAATCCAACTCGGTATAAGAACTCAAAACTGCCTTCAACTTGGTATCGAAATAGGAGAAAGAATTGATGACTCCTTTGAAGTAATTTTTGCCTATTTCTTGTTCGTTAGCTCGAAAATACATGGAAGCTTCCAACCCGGCAGTTATGTAGAAAATGAGAGGACAATATGGGTTATTACAAGCATAACAATCGCACTGCTTATGTCTGAAGAACTCTGGCAATATAAAGCCGGGAATGGTGACATATTTTCTTGTAGGACTAACTTGGGATTTGAATTTTTGGCATTCTAGCATGGTTTCAAAATCTTGTTTTGGCGCGAACATTTGTACTTTAGCTTCAGTGGTTATAATCGGCGGGTCGCTCGAAGGTGGTAGCCCTAGGATGTACTTGAGACGATTGTCGATTTTCACCTGAAAGAATATTACAAGTTGTTGTAGATCGCACTAATTTTATAGAAGAACTTGAAAGTTGAATTAAAATCACATTTAAGCTTTTATTGGATAGTCCAGGGACTATTGAAATAATGAATTTATTTTAGCAAATCCAAACTGAAAATAAATGCGAAAGTTACTCTGTCTATCTGTCTGTCTTATCTTCACGCCTAAACTACTGAACCTATTTCTGTGAAATTTGGTACAGACATAGTTTGGAACTCCAGAAAGAGGACACAGGATAGTTTTTATACCAAAAATCTACAGGAAGTCACTATTCCACGCGAACAAATATAATTTTTGACATTGATCAAATTGCAATTTGATCAATGTTGTAGTCGACGAATTGCAATTTTAATGCCTTTTTTGTCAGGGAAAATCATCCAACGACTTCTCCCGCCCAGGGTAAGGAGAGAGAGAGAGAGAGAGAGAGAGAGAGAGAGAGAGAGAGAGAGAGAGAGAGAGAGAGAGAGAGGAGAGAGAGAGAGAGAGAGAGAGAGAGGAAAAAAACTGTTTTTTTTTATGTGTAGGTACCTGTGCGTCGTCCATTTTGTGCGCGTTCACGATATTCGCGTACATGAGCGCCTGTAGTACGGCGGAGCAGTGCGGCGCGGACACTGCGCACGAGCTCCGCGCGCGCCGCCATAGCTGCAGCGACCGACTCACGCGTACACTGCGGACGCTACTAGTTGACGTACGGTACCTTATTGTCAACGAGCGGAGACGACGGGCTGACCATTTCGACGCTGTTGGAAAGTAATATACACTGTGTTAGCTAAAACGAGGGACTTATTTAAGGAGCCGATTTTGGTGTACAACCACTTTTTACATGGACCCAATATTTAAAAATGAAAAATAATTTTATTTCCCCATACAATTGTGGGAGAGCCAAGCTTTAGCACGAATGGGTCGACTCGACCGGAATGATGCGACGGCCTCACAGAAAACCGGCGTTAAACAACCACAGCGTTGCGTTTCGCCGTGTGAGTGAGGTTACCGGAGGCCCAATCCGTCCCTCATACCAAAAATACCGGCAACTCCTTTGGTGTTGCGGGTGTCCATGGGAGGCGCTGATTGCTTACCATCAGATAATGCGTCCATTCGCTTAACATTCAATCAAATAAAAATAAAAAAAAAACTACGGATACTAGTAAAATCGAGTTTTTTTTAGTTTGGAAGTGATACCACGGCCTCACAGAAAACCAGCGTGAGACAATCATAGCGTTTAGTTAATCTGTATGGCGTTACGCCGTGTGAGTGAGGTTACCAGAGACCCAATCCTGACCCCCCATTCTTCCATCCCTAATAACTTTCAAGAAGTCCCCCTACATGATGGGCCTAACCTAACCTACAAGAGGAGCGGCAACGTACTTCTAACTAACTTTTTGGTATTACTAGTCCATGGGCGGCGCCGATCGCTTACCATCAGGTAATCCGTCTGCTCGTTTGCCGACCCATTACATAAAATATAAAACAGCAAAATTATACTTTTTCTTATATACTTACCAGTATTCGAAATGGACATATAATGCCTCTGTGTTCCGTTTACACCACTCAAGATGTTTGGCTTCGATTCCTGGGCGAGTAAAGTTTGGACCTCCATGAGCCGTCCGACCGCTAAATCGACTGTAAAAAGAAAAATAGGCCTTAATACAAAACAAAGTTTACTCTCACGCGTTTTCACCCGCTGCTCGGCTCCATTTGATTGTAGCGTGATATTTTATAGCCTATATATAGCACTCAGGAACATTATAGCTATCTATCAGTGAAAGAATTTTGGCAATCCGACCAGCGGTTCCAAAGATTACCCCCTACATACAAACTTACAAATTTTACCTCTTTAGAATATTAGTATAGATTTAAACCGGTTACCGGAGGCCCAATCCATCCCCTCCCCCAATCCGTTCTCATTCCCAAAATCCCCAAAAGGTCGGCAACGTACTCGTAAGTCCTCCGTCGTTGCTTGTGTCACGTGCGGCGCTGATTGCTTACCATCAGGTAATCCGTTTGCTCGTTTGCCCACCCATCACTTAAAAAAACATACAAAAACTGGCTCAATGGTTGTAATGAAAAACCTTAGTTTTGTAATAAGGTTTACACTAGAAAGAAATATATAAGAAAATCAGTCTGCGACCACGACCTGTGCAACTAGGTTGAAACGTCGAGCCTACCAAGGTATTTAAATAATTATTTTTCGCGTTAATATACCCGAGTAATTTATGTTGTAAGTATGAAACGCGAAAGTTTAAAAGTTAGTTAATAAGATAAAATCATTAGGAGTGCCAGACTTATCATAATCACCATCATTAGCCGGAAAAAGCTCCTGAACAAAGACCTCTTTTTTAGTGAGGGGAAAATCGTCAAATAGCTTCTCCCGCCCAGGGCCGGGTGGGAAGTAGTGTCAGACTCTTACTGACTAAACCCCCCCCCCCTCCCCCGTTCATTCTCCTGGTCTGAGCCGAGGCCGCGGTGACTCATTGCGCTTACCCCGCCACCCGTCTGTGGGCTGTGTCTATTGGCTCTTTGAGGCGCGCGCGGAACGCGGAGCTCTCTAAGTCCTAGACGTCGAACAACGACCACTCGCCACCTGCATCCATTGGCTCCCTGCGACTCTGTCGATTCATCTAGCTGGAAGCCTGCCCATTATGACTTTACTGACTAAAAACCTCCCCCACCCCTTCCTTCTCTTGCTCTGGGCTGAGGCAGCGATACAATATTACACTTAGGTATAACCCAGGTTTAGGTGAATTATACTCACGATTAATATCAGGACACTTGTCGTAAGCAGCTAATGTTTTTATTTGAGCGACCTGTACTAACTTCGCCGCTACATTCATCGACCCGGAGTTCAAATAGAAGATCTGGAAAGAAATAAATGTTCAATTATTTAATTATATTTATTAGCTACTCGTCCCGGCTTTGAGCAGGACACCAACGAGCAGAAGGATCACCTGATGGTAAGCAATCAGCGCCGCCCATGGACACCCACAATACCAGAGGAGTCACTGGCGCGTTGCCATTTAAACCATTTAAATCATTTACATACATAAATTAATACTACACATACATAATAAATTGAAAACATATAAAAATAAATAAATATATATAGCGTGGCAAGGGTTCCATCTCAGTAAATGCTGTGCTAATGTACAGCACTGGTTTTCATATGGCTCCTAACTGTTGGGGTAAAAAACAGATCTGCGTGCACACAAAATAAAAAAAATTGGTGACGTTATAAAACAAAATTGTAAGCACTTAAAAAACACAACCTCGCTTTTCTTCAAAGTCGGTTAACACATCTGTAAATATGGTCAGCGTAGTGTGTAGACGGCCTAATATAGTACAAAGTGAAAATAAGGGGGTAGATGAAGGTTCATCGCCTGAATGTAAGCTGTGACATCGCATCCTCAGTCTGTTTGCGACCACGACCTGTGTGACCTGTGCAACCAGGTCGAAACGTCAAGCCTACCAAGGTATTTAGATATTTATTTTCGCGTGAAACGCGAATATTTGAAAATATTTGGAATATAGGGACAGAGAAAAAGATTATGTAATATGGCGGCAAATGAGCAGACGGATTACCTGATGGTAAGCAATCAGCGCGCCCATCGACACCCGCAATAACGTAGTTTTTTTAAGGATTGGTTTGGCCTCCGCTAATCTCACCCTCTCGGCGAAACACAACGCTGTGGTTGTGTCACGCCGGTTTTCTGTGAGGCCGTGGTATCACGGTCAAGACGACTTATTCGTGCCGAACCATGGCTTTTACACACTTGTATAAGGCATTATTGAGTCGGCGCATCCATAGGGATGAAAACTCCAAAAATAACGAAAAAAAATTAAACTTACAGCCACATCACACAAGAAAATAACTCCGGACTCAACATTCTGAATATTTTTCATGATATCCGTATAATAATCAGTCGCTTGAGACAGGATGTGTTCTAATACAGTGGAATGCTGGATAACGTTGGAGAGAAGAATGCCTGCATTACGCACGTATGATAATCTGAAACAAAAAAAAAACATTTTTTTTATGTAATAGGTCGGCAAACGAGCTGTTGTATTACCTGATGGTAAGCAATCAGCTCCGCCCATGGACTAACGCAACAACAGAGTAACGAGTGCGTTTGCCTATCTTTTGGGGATAAGTGATTTGGAGTTAGGTTTTGGGGATTTGAAGATTTAGGGATTGGGGGAGGAGAAGGATGGGGCCTCCGGTAACCTCACTCACACAGCCAAACCCAACTGTGGCTGTTTCAAGCCGCTTTTCTGTGAGGCCGTCGTATCACTCCGGTCGAGCCGACCCATTCGTGCCGAAGCTTCCACACTACTGGTGGTTCATAAATACTCAAACCTTCTCCGTGTGAGAAGAGCCCTTTGCTCAGCAGTGGGCTCTTATAGGCATTTTTTTTGTGAGGGGAAAATCATCAAAGGACTTCTCCCGCCCATGGTAAGGCGAGAGAGAGTGTCAGACTGTCACTGACTAGCCCCCCCCCCCCCTCCCGTTTCTCTCCTGCTCTGGGCCGAGGTCACGGTGCTTCATTGCGCTGACCCCGCAACCCCGGCTGAACATCAGCCCTATAGGGCCCCGTCTGTGGTGGTCTATTAACTCTTTCAGGCGCGTGCAGAACTGGGGTCTGGTTCTGGTCGGGCGGCGAGCTGCCCTTACTCGCCGTCCGCAGACCCGCGCTTGCGGTGGCCGGAGATCATCTCTCGAGGCACTTATAGGCTGATGATGATGACGTATAATGATGAAATTTATACTTACTTGTCATCCAAATATTTGGCTAGCTGACAGCATATATGAGCCAATTGCAGCGCGTGCGCAGGTCGACTATAGTAGAGCAATTGTTGAACAAATATTTCGGCTAACTGAAGAGCGGGGGTCAACAGAGATTTGTAGGTCACTGTAAAACAAAAAAAAAACAATTTGGAACAGTTTGGCGGCTGCAATCTTTCCGTCCGAATACAATTTAGGTGTCTTCAAGGCTAGAGTGAATAGGCTCTTAATAAACTAGTGCGCCTTACCATCAACGATTGCATCACTGCTTACCATCAGATGGGATCGCAGTCAAGCACTAGTTTATTGCAAGTAAAAAAAAAAACAAGTAAGGGGGGATCATCAATGTGTGGAAGAGCCACGAGAGGCATGATTATGTCGGCTCGACGGGAGTGATACCACGGCCTCACAGAAAAACGGCGTGAAACAACCACAGCGTTGTGTTTCTCCGTTTCGACGAATACAGGAAACAGGCAAAAACAGAAAAAGCTGCAGTCTACACCTGTTTTTTTTTTCTGAAATCTCAAAATATGGTGTCGCCAATAGTAGGTCTCCAAAAACATATATTTATAATAACTATCGTGAGACATACTAAATTAACTAAAATTCGCGGGTTACTCACGTGTAAATGTTGAGAAAAGCTCTACTAGTTTCGACCACGGACGCGGCGACGTCGCGCTGAGTAGGCTGCGCGACGTCGCCGCGTCCGCGCACGCTGCTCATGAGGAAGAACCCCTCTGTGGTTCGAAACTAGTAGAGCTTTTCTCAATATATACACGTGAGTAACCCGCGACTTTTAGTTAACATATATTTATACATTTATTGCTGTGGTAAACTTAGAAATTTGTCAATTTATCCCAATCCCTCCCACTACCCCACATCCCTTCCCAATCCTTAAATACCCAAAACCCTTATCCCTAAAAGGCCGGCAACGGACTCTCAACTCCTTTGGTGTTACGGGTGTCCATGGGCGGCGCTGGTTGCTTACCATCAGGTAATCTGTTGGCTCGTTTGCCGACCTATCACATAAAAAATGAAGAGTTGGGTCCCCTGTAACCTTACCACACAGCGAGACACAAAGCTGTGGTTGTTTTTGGACTTATGGTTTCGGAGGGTCAAAGGATTGGAGAGGGATGGGGAGAGGAGAAGAATTGGGCCTCCGATAACTTGTAGTTTTTTCACGCCGGTTTTTCGAGGCCGTGGTATCACTCCGGTCGTTATCATTCGTGCCAATGCATGACTCTCTCACACTTTTTATTAACATTTAGAAAAAGTAAAAAAATGAGAATAAGTATTTTTTGCAATGATATCTTAGATTTTGATAGTAAATCTTGCTACTGGTCTTATAATATGAACAACTATTCAGGGGTGCCAAAAAAAAACAGAACGAGAAAAAGTTACATATTGTAGAAATGGCAGCTGATTTAGTATGATTAAGTAGGATTTTTATTTAAAATATCAATAATTTGGCCATCCATGGGCATATGGTGATGTAAGTGGGTTAAATGATAGTTGATAATCTGGCCAATCGACGGTTTCAGGGTTATCCATTATTTATGCCACACCGTGTATTTATACCTGTATTGATTACAGCCAGCAGCTCAGTCCACAACTCTACGGCTTGGAGAGCTCTTCGTAACGCGATCTGTTCCTGTGGCAAAGTGCGCATCGCTTGCTGTATATCCGGGTCAAGATTCTGTAATATATAGAAAATATAGTCAATATCACTACATAGTATAAAACAAAGTCGCTTTCTCTGTCCCTATATCCCTATGTATGCTTAAACCTTTAAAACTACGCAACGAATTTTGATGCGGTTTTTTGAATAGACAGAGTGATTGAAGAGGAAGGTTTATATGTATAATAACATCCATTAAATAGTGGATAAATCTAGCACACGTGCAAAGCCGGGGCGGGTCGCTAGTATTCCAAAAAAGAACTGTATGAGCTCCGGTGTGAATCGAAACTCGTCGAGTATACCAGGAAAGTTAACGGGAATCTGTCGTTTATAATGTTATGTTATGAATTATGAAGCTAAAGACTTTTTTGAGATTCACTAAGGACTCTAAGAATCCCGTTATGACTTGAAACTAGTAGAGCTTTTCTCGCTTAACGTGACCTCACGTGACAGTCGTTATTTTGACTGCACGGTTGGCGGGTGGCTGGGTAACCGGTCGCGGGTTCGATTCCCGCACACAACAACTCTTTGTGTGATCCACAAATCGTTATTCCGGATCTGGGTGTCATGTGTATGTAAAATTGTATGTTTGTAAAAGCACCTACGACACAGGAGAAAATCTTAATGAAAAGCAACGGAAAAAAAATCACAATAGTCATCTTATACATATAAAAATGAATCGCTAAATGTGTTGTTAAGCGCATAACTCAAAAACGCCTGGACCAATTTTGCAAAATCCATTTGTTTTGTATTTATTATTGTCAGGAGAAGGTTCTTATGAAAGAAAATATGAGAAAAGTAGAGGGGAATATTGGGGAAAAGGGACCATTTGCGACCTGGACCTACGCGAAGCGGGGGTTGGCCGCTAGTTATAAATAAATATAAAAAAATAGTAAAAAAAAACTTACCGTCTCTGTAACTTTCCAATTATATTTAATACTGGACTCCGCAATGTCGTATTCGGCTTGCAGAAATAAGAGTATAGTTTGGCCGAGTCTTATGTCCGATGAAATTGGCTCCTGAAAGAAACATAATATCAATTTTGAGAGGGTGGAGGGCAGTGGGGAGGTTTGGCAAATCATTGAATGCCTCCCTAGGTGGAGAGGTAGTATCAGAATCTTACTGACCAAAAATCACCCCGTTCCTTTTCCCGTGACGAACATGACTGGTAATAAAAAAAAACTTTTCACAACATTTTGTGAAACAACCACAGCGTTGTGTTTCGCCGTGTGAGTGAGGTTACCGGAGGCCCAATCCTTCCCCTCTCCTAATCCCTCATCAATCCCTAAATCTCCAAATCCCTAATCCCTAAAAGGGCAACGCACTTTTAACTCCTCCGTTGCGTGTGTCCATGGGCACGATTGCTTACTATCAGGTAATCCGTCTGCTCGTTTGCCGACCTATTACATAAAAAAGTAAAAGTCAAGATCAAAATCAATTTATTTAATAAAATTTCAATTAGACCCTTACAGGCACTTTTGCACGTATTTACCTACCGTATGTGTGATGTGCATAAATAATAACCTTAGGGCTGATTTTTCAATAGTCAGATAAATGTTATCTGAGGAATAAAATTGTTGCTGTCACTGTCTTATACAAACATTGTGACGCGACAGCATCATAATTATTCCCCAGGTAACTTTTATGTAACCATTGAAAAACAGGCCTTACGTATAATATTATAAATGCGAAAGTTGTTTGTTACTCAATCACGCCAAAACGGCTTGACGGATCTGGATGATATTTGGCAAAGGCATAGATACACTCCGGATTAGGACAAGGGCTACCTTTTATCAACATACCATGTGGAAAAATCCGCGAACGGAAGCTAGTCCAAACTAATATTATAAATGCGAAAGTAACTCTGTCTGTCTGTCTTTTCTTCACGCCTAAACTACTGAACTAATTTCTGTGAGATTTGGTACAGACATAGTTTGGAACTGCAGAAAGGACATAGGATAGTTTTTATACCAAAAATATACAGAAAGTAACGAAACGAAGTCGCAGGAAAAAGCTACTAAATAATAATTGGTAGGAAAAAACCTTTCAATACTTACAGGCATTTTCTCGATTTTCTCCAATAACTCTGCTACCACCACTTTGTAATAGTCAGCGTGAATAGTCCTCACAGCTGACGGAGTCTGGGAAACCACTTGTAGTAGCGTCCAAAATAAAGATTCTGTATTCTCAACTGAAAATAAAAACATAATTATTACAGTATTTTTATTACGACTGCACTGTTGGTGCGGTGGCTGGGCAACTGGTTGCCGTACAACGTGTCGCGGGTTCGATTCCCGCACGGAACAACTCTTTGTGTGATCCACAAATTGTTGTTTCGGGTCTGGGTGTCATGTGTATGTGAAATTGTATGTTTGTAACCGCACCCACGACACAGGAGAAAATCCTAACGCAGAGCAAAGTTTCTTTTTTAAATTATAACTTTCGTGAGAAATTCTAAATTAATTATTATGTTTTCGGCTTACTCAAGTAATAATTTGACGAGATACTCGACTAGTTTCAAGCCATGATAGAGGCCCATATTCATGAGCAGCATTCCGCGACACGCGACTCGGCGACTGTCGCGCTGCTACTGGCTTGAAACTAGTCGAGTAGTACAACATAAGTCTCACACAGTGCGTGTGTGAGACTTATGTTGTAACTAGACTTTGAGGGGTTAGATATTTGAAGATTGGGGATAGGGGTGGGGGGATTTGGCCTTTGGTACCTACCCTCACTCAAAGAATATGGGGAATTAGCGACTATTTTCATGTTAGTTAGGTAGAGAAAATCTAGGCGGTAAGTAGGTCGCTACTACCTATAATAAAAAAAAAAAAATACCTGTAATCCACTTCTCTTGTCTGCCATTAAGAAGGGAATTAAGAGAGCGCCAAACTCCGGCCACCGGCGCTATAGAAGGCCACAGCTTGCAGTACATTTCAAATTCATGCTTCAACACTGAACTGGAATTAAAAAAATACAATTAATTACACTCTGAAGTCGAAAATCCAATCATTTATTTGAATAACATTTGTGCGGTTGGCGCGGTGACTGGGCAAGTGTGGGAGAGCCATGCTTCGGCACGAATGGGTCGGCAGACGAGTAGACGGATTACCTGGTGATAAGCAATCAACGCCGCCTGTAGACACCCGCAAAAACGGAGGAGTTACAAGTGCGTTGCCGACTTTTTGGGGATTAGGGATTTGGGATTGGGGGAGGGGAAGGATTGGGCCTCCGCTAACCTCACTCACACGGCGAAACACAACGCTGTGGTTGTTTCACGCCGGTTTTCTGTGAGGCCGTGGTATCACTCCGGTCGAGCCGACGACCCATTCGTGCCGAAACATGACTAAGTGTTAAAACCTTGATATAGTAGCTAGCGTTGCGAAGCGTAATAAGGTTCCGCGGCCTCGGGCTAGAGCAGGAGAAGGAACAGGGGTTTTTTTAGTCAGTAAGAGTCTGACACTCTCTCTCACCTTACCCTGGGCGGGAGAAGTCATTTGATGATATTCTATCCTCAAAAAAAACCTTGATATATAGAACCAGCTACTCCTGCGCGGTTTCACTCGCTGCTCGGCTTTATTTGATTGTAGCGTGATGTTTTATATTTTATAGCCTATAGCACTCGGGGACATTGTAGCTATCTATCAGTGAAAGAATTTTGGCAACCCAACCAGTAGTTCCAAAGATGACCCCCTACATATAAACTTACAATACCTCTCTGTAATATTAGTATACATTAGAGTACCTAGCAAATTTAATTGAAATCATTGCTTAAATTAGAATGTGTAAGTAGTCATTAAAATACACATCATCATCATCATCAGCCTATAAGTGCCCACTGCTGAGCAAAGGCCTCTTCTCATACGGAGAAGGTTAGAGCATTGATCATAGAGCATTGAGGAATACTGGACTTATAATTACGATGTTTACCTTCACTATATGTCAGTGGTGTCTAAATAATTCACATTGGTCAAGAAAAAGTCACATTGGTACTTGCTAGATCTTGAAACCACACCCTCATGCATGAGAAGCAGGCTCCTTAACATCAGGACCACCACCACAAGTTAAAATACACACCTGCATATAATTTCACCAAATCAATTGAATAATGTAAACCTACCTGAACTTGACATCCTTTATAAATGGCTTTAAATCCCCATACATATTATTTTCCATAGCAATCTTACAGGCATCCAATACGGAGGTCATTTGAAGGTTTGAAGATTTGTCATCAGGCTCGTCAATATCGTCATTTTTCAAAGCTTTAGCCTTGATATCCATAGCTAAACTCATATATTTATCAGAATGAATATCATTGGAGAAAATTAAGCTCAGAAAAGCGTCAATTAGGGCTTGCTCATGTTTCTTATAATCAAGCTCACAAATGCTCTTATTATAAAATGCTCGAGCCACATTTTTATGCTCAAACTCATTTTTATTAATGCTCAACTCATTTTTAATATAAATTTCGAATAAATTAATGGAAAATTCGTATTTTTCATTCTTGTTTAGTGCTATGGCCGTATTATGTGTGTCGGTTTGAAGTTTTCTATAGAATTTTTCTGAATTTGAACACTTTTGGCGTTTTAATTGATCCATTATTGAGTATTGTTGATCTATAACTTGGGTATATATAGGTAATAAGTTTGTTATATCTGTGTTCTGTTGAATAGACGCTGAGATAAAATGCTTGACTAAGAAAGACAGCCTCAAAGCATCGTGTAAACCAGTTTTTACAGAACAATTTTCACATCTCAACAACTGTTCACAGTTTTTCAGTTCATTCAGCAATTTTAACATGAAATTCAGACAGTTTTCTTGCACTTCCGCAGTAAAATTACTTTTTATATTATTATTTACTGAGTATTCAATGAATAAGCGAAGTAGTTGTGCTATAAATGGGTATGAAGCAACCATTGTGGTTCCATAACCGAGTTTCACAGTAATATCACAGGAAACAGTGAGATTTTTGAACACAGCGTCCAAATAGGTTGTTCTATTAAGAAAAATATCGCAAAAAGAGTTTAAATAAAATGTTTGTAGACAATGAAAGAAGTTTGGCTTATGCCCAAGAAGAGTGATAGCTGTTCTCACAGCGGAGCTGACAGCTGAATGTTTAAAATTATTCTTTGAAGAATTCTCAGCAACAACATAAAAACAATCACTGAACTTCGCATATAAATCCATCAATTCTTTATCTTTAAGCTTTTTTACAGCATTCAAATCGGTTTTTTGTGATAATTTCTCAAAGATGTCTCTGTAAACTCCATTTAATGCTTCTGAATGTGATTCACTGTAAATGAAATGTAGTTTTTTGACTAAAAACACTAATATATTAGTGCAGAATTGAGTTGTATCGTAAATATCAAGAGTTTTAAGTATATCTTCATTTAGTTTTGGCAGTAATTTGTGTATGGATTTTCCTCTAAGTTTCTCTATGTAGCCGAGTCTGTCAGCAAGTATGTTCCAATAGGTTTTGCTGTATTCTTTCAACAGATTCTTTGACTCAGCTTCGAATGCCATGAAGGAGAGCTTGAGTATTAATTCTGGAGGTATTTGCTTATTCTGTAACATAAATATAAATTGGTATAAGTATTTACTACAGTTTTTTAAAGTTAAGTCAGCATAAGTAGCGAGTAATAATAGCTCGCCGCCCTACCAGAACCAAACCCGAGATTACGGCGCGTAGCATTTCGCCAGAACCAAAAGACCACCACAGACGGGGCCCTATAGGACTGATGTTCAGCCGGGGTTGCGGGGTAAGCGCAATGAGGCACCGCGACCTCGGCCCAGAGCAGGAAAAGGAACAGGGGGGTTTTTAGTCAGTAAGAGTCTGACACTCCCTCCCGCCCAGCCCTGGGCAGGAGAAGTCATTTGATGATATTTAATATTTTAAACTAAAAGACTACCAATAGATAGATTAGTCCTACCAGGGTCGATGTTCAGCCAGGGTTGCTGGGCCAGCGCAATATTTTAAGTGTGTGGGTATTAATTATTTAAGTGTGGGAGAGTCATGCTTCGGCACGAATGGGTCGGGTCGACTGGTCAGATACCACGGCCTCACAGAAATCCGGCATGAAACAACTACAGCATTGTGTTTCGCCGTGTGAGTGAGGTTACCGGAGGCCCTATCCTTCCCCTCCCCCAATCCCTCCCCAATCCTTAAATCTAGAAATCCCTAATCCCCAAAAGGTCGGCGACGCACTCATAACTCCACTGTTGTTGCGGGTGTCCATGGGTGGCACTGATTGCTTACCATCAGGTAATCCGTCTGTCCGTTTGCCGACATACCACATAAAAAAAATAGTACCGCGACATCAGTAGTATGGGTCCTTTCGTTCCTTGAGTCAATAACTGACAATGACTCTCGCCAAAACCCTGGGTACGAGAGATGTCATTTGATGATATTTCCCTATTTTCCATATTTTCTACATACAGATTCTTTGGTATTTCAATCATAATACGTTGGTTCATTAATGTGAGAAACTGATCTCGTCGTAACTCTTCTGGTTTTGCGGGTGTCTTTTCTCCTGGATTGGCGGCGCCGATTGCTTACCATCAGGTAATCTATACCAATGTACCACATAAAAAAGCAGTTTTTTATACATACCAATCTAACAACATGTCTATGTATATGGTATATACAGGCCAATGTTTTGACCTGTTCAGCCTTGTTCAGGCCTCTTGTCTCTCTAATGCAGTCTATGCTCAGTGTCAGCAGGTCTTTGTTGTCTATGCTGTCCTTCCATGAAGGTGCTTTGTCAAGGTTTCTGAAATAAAGAGACAGTAATAGTTAAAGTATTTAAGTTGTTTCTAGCGACCAGCTTTGATACTTAATTTTTCATAGTTCAAAGAATACTAGCTCCTCTCGCGCGGTTTCACCCGCTGCTCAGCTCCATTTGATCGTAGAGTGATGTTTTATAGCCTATAGCACTCAGGAACATTGTAGCTATCTACCAGTGAAAGAATTTAGGCAATCCGACCATCGGTTCCAAAGATTACTCCCTATATACAAACTTACAAATTTTACCTCTTTATAATATTAGTATAGATGTTCTTATATGGATAGTATAGGTTAATATTATTATAGTCTAAGTTTTATGGACTTAAAGCCGATTTTTCAATGGTTAGATATAAGTTACCTGCAGAATAGTTATGATGCTGTCGCGGCAGAATGTTTGTATAAGACAGTAACAGCAACAGTTTTATTCCTCAGATAACATTTATCTGAATTGAAAAATCAGCCCTAAATTTTTATACAGTAAAGTTGTAAAATAAAAATTTACATATGTGAGTGATTAAATAATAATTATGTTTTCTCTAGTTTTTTAGTTTAGTTTCCAACTAGTCTATAGAACTATAAATAAAATCAATGAATTTTCTATGAAATTTTAAGTTTTGTAAGTATATAATATGGAGATTTTATATTAATTAGCATACTTATTTTTGAAAATTTAGCTAAAAAATATATGTATAACTGAAAGTGTGATTATATTTTAAGCCTTTGACTGCCGACAGAAAAATATTAAAGGCAAATCCTCCACTAGCATAGGTTACCGGCAACCTATGTGGCGATTGATGTGTTAATAATAAATAGACTTTGATAAAATTGTGCGATTTGTTTTCATTTCGTGTTTATATTTTTAATCTTTTTTCAGCTTCCGACATTCATTTTCTTAATACCATAATTAATTAATCCTAACTTAATATTATAAATGTGAAAGTTTGGGAGAATATGTGTATAGGTTTATTATTCTTTCATGCAAAAGCAGCTGGACCAGTTTGGTTTAATTTGGAAAATGTAGTTAGGTGAAACCCTGGATTAACACTTAAGCTGCTGTTAATCAACATATTCATACCAATCAGGAAGAGCCGCAGGCTAAACTAGTTTGTAATATTTTAGATAACATTCATACTGACATATTCATGTTCAATTTTCTTATTAGGCAATACCTAAGTATTAATTTAAGATTGTATATAAGTTTTTTTTATTTACTAAAATAAAAGATTATTTTTGGCCTGGGAATCTACCCAATAACAGATTATCATTCAGTAAATGTAACACAGTATGTTCTCAGTGGCCAAGATACTAAAAAGGGAATATTAATTTTAAAAATTAAAAAACAAATTATAGTTCTAAGTTTCTAACTGGGCACTTTTTAGTTTCTCATATTTTGGTTGCTTTGTTATCTAATCTTACGATTAAAGAGTATATGAAGTTATTTAAACAAAACTTGCAACGTTGTTTCAGCATCAAATTTACCTGTTATGTCGAATTTTTCACTCGGTTAAACCACTGAGTTATTATGATCAAAATAGACGGTATACAACATTATGCCATAGCTTTTTTCTTTATATTAGTTACTAAGACTTACCTGCACAACAAACATAACACATTTAGCGAGAAAGAACCTCTTTCTTTAGATGATAATTTCGAAGAAATCATTTTATAATCAATAAACACTTTGGCTAAGTTATTCCAATCCTTTTCGTCACCGTTCGCTTTTATGTTTGCTAAGAAATCGTTGGCTTCCATCTTGTTATAGTTTATATCACTTAACCATTACACAACTAAAACGTTTCCACAATATTTTGTAGACAAAATTGATTAAATAAATTCAAATCAGAAGTTTTGGCCGTTACGTTTTAAAACGTCAGTCAATTTAACAAAATTTGTCGTCATGGAAAACAGTATTGACGACCTTAAATTTTTGACCAATGGCATGCCTTTGTACGTGCGTTTCCTGTAACTGGAAACGAACTGGACAAAACGTTCCGTTTTTACTGTACAATGGTTATGAAGTTGTTAATTTATATTTGTTTCAATATATTTTCTTTTATAGTGAAAAGAAAATATATATATGAAAAGATCATGAAAAGTTCATCAAAACATCAAGTTCATTTTATTGAGCACTAATGACAAAATTGTTAGCTTATGTTGCTTGCTGGTACCACTTAAGCTTAGGTAACCCAATAATCATTCACTTTATGAAGGTGTAAAGAAACGTTTAACCAGATTGCGTTTGGATACTTTCCTAAAACGTGATTCATATGGTATTTAATTTAAATTTAATCTTTTCAGTTTTCTATTACATGCATCAGAATACAATTTTGTGTATTATTACAGTATGATCAGACTTAGTAATTGAAACTACATCTAAAGCATATAAATAAATAAATTTTACATAAAAAAATACAGAACCGGCATAATAACGTTTAGTTATCAATCAAGTTCATGGAATGTAAATGTCATCAATGCGAAATCGAAATATCGTGTGTCAAAAAAGCCGCCATTTCTTGGTTATCAATTCTTATTTTTCTTAAAACTAATTAAATACACACGAAAAGTAATAAATCTCATATATATTTGAACAAGTAAAGTATATTATAAGTAAATACAGGTGGTATTACCTTTACCTGGAGTAAATTTCACGCCCTCGTGGAATTTACCTCTCAGTAAGTATTCGTAACTTCTTATCGATTTATTTTGGCAGTGAGAGACGCATGTGCAACGGAAATAAACACCAAGCTCCTTAGTAGCAAGTTATTTACTTTCTACAATAGCTTTCTTATTAGATTATTTAATACCCGCTAATATTTTAAACTACTTCTAACTAAGTAAGTAATTTCTAAGTTCTTGTGATAAAAAGGTAGATTTTATGATCACTGATCGTTGACCCTATTGTTATGATGCTTAGAGTTAATAGTTGATTATCAAATAGCATGTATGAGCATAAATTGTAATTATTTTGTGTGATGGGATAAAATTACTTAGTAAAAGTCTTACAATTGCCAGGCAAAGGCAGTGGGAGACATTCAACGATTTTCCCTCAAAAAGTCCCCTTTGTTTGAGGAGGTAAAATCATCAGATGACTTCTCTTGCGTAGGGCATGAGGAGAGGGAGTGTCAGACTCTTACTAACAATCCAACTTAATATATTCTAATATATAAATGTGAAAGCAACTCTGTCTGTCTGTCTGTCCTTTCTTCACACCTAAACTACTGAACCAACTTCTGTGAAATTTGGTACAGACATAGTTTGGAACTTGAGAAAGGGCATAGGATAGTTTTTATACCAAAAATCTGCAGGAAGGCACTATTCCACACGAATGGAGTCGTGGACAAAAGCTAGTAGGTAACTTTATAACATATAAATCATCCCATTACTTCTCCTGCTCCAGGCCAAACAAGGGTCTCTTAAGGTGAACTAATAGACTACTTACTGGGCAAGAATATTTCCCATTACGTTTGAGGTAGAAAGTTTTTATAAGAGAAATAAATTATTTGGGGAATGTTTTAAGGCAACTTGTGAAATATTCGTAATATTGATTTTGACACCTCTAATTACAACTTCATTCTATCCTACGGTTTCTCACAGAACCAAAACCCTCCTTCAGAAAGTTAAACAATTACAGGGGTTGCTTGAAGGTAAGAAAGAAAGAAAGAAAAAACATTTATTTGAGACTTGCACAGAAAATAAATACAATTACATTTAATATAGACAAAAAGAAAAAACAAACAAAAATAAACAAAACAACAACAAAAAAATATTAAAATAAAATAAAAGACCTGTGCGAGGTCAAAAAGGCCACTATCTCAGCATATGCTGCGATAATTCACCAGTAGGTAAAAATACCGCAGCGCTGGTATTCTGATAGGGCCTGGTGATGCCACGGACATACTCACGGAACACAGAAACAGATTAACATATATAAATATATAGAGATATATAAATATTAGATATACATATATAAATATTAGATATATATAAAAATTATAAACAAAAAGTTGCTGTCACAAAGTTCATTGTAAGTGTTTTGGTTCTTTTCTAGTGAAGTTAGTTTAGTCTGATATTACCCACTATACTTTTGGGTGGGTTGGTCCACTATCGGACTGCTGAGCTGAGTGGTGTTGCATTATGTATATGAACTCTTTACTCCAGTACTTTAATTGTATTTTTCAGGTCACCACAGGATGGGGTTTACAAATTTCCATCTACTACTCTTCGGCCAAGTCATCGCATACTTCCTCGCATCAAAACTTATATTTGACAAAGTAAACGAAACAATCCATATTGTCATTGATGAATACTTCCATATACCGCAAGGAATAGCGTATTGTAATGGAAACTACTCGTACTGGGATCCGAAGATAACAACGCTACCAGGCTTGTACCTTGTTTCGTCTGTTGTTGGCACATACTTCAAATGCAACACATATAATTTACGGTTCGTGAATCTCATAGCCTCTTGCGTCAACTTAGTACTATTCTCCAGCATTCTACGGTTTGTGTACTATGGTGACAGAAACCATATGAAAATAATCCTACAAGCTGTGAGCCTCACTATACTACCTCCGATATACTTCTTTTCCCATGTCTATTACACCGATGTGCTCTCCGTAACATTCTTACTCCTGTTTTCAAGATTATGCTTGACAAACCGATACTTTGTCATGATTTTGATCTGCGGTGTGGCATCTATAATGATGAGACAGACAAATGTTGTATGGATAGCTATGGTGTTCGGTCACAAGCTGCTAGATTTGCTAATAAAAAGTTCTAGAGTGTTTGGGAATCAGTATATTAACGATGTAAGATTAAGTAAGCGTTCACTCATAGCCAAAGATGTGGATAAGTCAAAGTTAAAACGGTACTACGGACTAAAGGATGTATACTTTGCAGCTAGATATCATTTGTCAACTGGTTTGACAACATTCTTCAAGTTTCTGACATTCCATGATGCCACCTTATTGTTCACTCATTTGATTACACTCAGCGGTTTTGTTGCTTTTGTCTATTACAACGGTTCCATAGTTGTGGGAGACAAAACTGCTCATGAAGCGACTCTCCATTTGCCTCAATTGCTATACTTTTTATTGTTCTACGGAGTCTTCGGTTTACCTTATGTTGTGAATCGATTGAAATCGACTCTGAAATTGATGT